AGAAAACTTTGATGATCTTGTAACAGGAAAGTTATTTTAACTCCCGTGACGTAACAAGACGTGCTAAGAGACTGTATAATCTTGAACGACGAGGTGGGTGTCCACTGACGTTGCATTTTCATTCGCGGCAATTTCAATTCGTAGAGCCATTGATATCGAGTGTAAAAAATCGTCGTTGATTGGTTTACAAGGAAAGAAGAGAAAAATAAAAGAGAATGTGACTCGACTACTTATAGCCTATCCGAGATAATTCTTCGAAAAATTGCAAGGTTAGTTCGATTAAGAACTCTGTTAGAGGCTCGTGTATTTAACGTTGCGTATAAATAAAAGCGCACGTTGTCGAAGATAGTTTCGAAACTATAAAACGAAGTCGAAAGTTACATGGAATTTGCATCGTTTCGTTCCTCTTTGATTAGTGATTAGGTAAATCGTGAAAAGACAACGATTCGAACGTTAACACGAGTCACGCGAGAAGCGCGGGAAGAACGAGCCGTTACAGCGATAACGTGATTCGAGTAAGCCGCGTAGAAGAGAACCTCAGTCTAGGATATGAGAATCGAGTAAAAGTTGGCAGCTGTACCTTCATTTTGTTTTGTCTCTGGCCTACATTCTGATTTATATGCATCTTCTTCGATTATTATTTAATCGTAGCTTTCTTTTTCCAGCGTAGTAAAAACCGAGGTAAAAGAAAAATCGTATAGGTTATGTTTATTTTTATAAGTAGAGGTATCGAACAATCTTGATCGTTATATCTCGCCAATTTCGATAATTATCTTTGTCATAACGTTTTTTAACGCGCTACGAGGGAAAATTGTCGATTATCATAAATCGAAAGAGGCCGAAGAATGGAGAAAAAATAGTAATAAAATATTTAAGATGGAAAAATTCGTTGAATCGGTTAACTCGTCATTGAAAGAGGGAAGGTTAAACATGCAGCTTTCGCGAGGAAATATAATAGTACGCGCGTTCGTCGATTTTTCCGAGGGGCTCGTCGATCCGCGAGCTCGGCGATTGGTCGCGGCGTAATTTGACGTCAACGTGCAATGAAATAATCGAGGGCTCACGCAATTGCGCTTTATTATTTTGTTCCTTCCCTGCAAATCGGCCCCTGGCAGCAGAATTATCGTGATTAGACGTTATCGACGAACGAGTCGCAATAGCGAGAAAAATTTTCCATGGTTGCCGTTTCGAAATAGATTTGAACGGAATCAATCCCCTATATGTATACGAATCGTCCGAGAAAGTCGAGGGATTTCTATTTCCATTCGTTGACTAAACGGATCTTTGACCAAAGAAAATGAGCGCGTCCGTCGATTCTACGAAGTTACAACGAAGAGTAGAGATCGAAACAAAGTTGCATCATCTCGTGGCGTTATGTGCCGAGTTTGAAGCTCTTACGCGTCTTCTTTTGCTTTCATGGACGATACAGGACGGTAACATAATTCGGTATACGTGCCGATGCGCACGCCACGCCGTTGCGGAGTACGGTTGTTCTAAATTTTAAGCAAACTATTCTTCCCGTCTTCGCAATGTTCTCGCTACCGATACACACAACGAGGGTGTTTAGACTCGGACAAATCGACTCGATTCGCTTACCGTACTCGCAATCGAGGTATGATTTATTTCTTTTTTCATTTTTATTACGTGAAAGTGTTCTTTCGTCTCGCTGTGCCCCGAATATCTCGTATTACCAACAGTCGTTTCACGTTCTCGCATTATATCGACAGCGACCATCATTGCCTACCATCGATACCACGGTGAACTCGCGCATTTTGCTACGCTATCTTCTCAAAAGATGGAAGCACTTACCTTCTCGGAGTGATATTTTTTACCTTTGAAAGTTTCGTCAACCATATTATACTGGAAGTACAAAAATGTCGTCCGGCTCATGCGTACGTTTCGGATCGGTCGTTAAAATTACAATTCAGAGGTTTGCAAGGAAAGATTGGTAAGGAAAGGAAAAATACGTAAGAGTAACGAATTCGATTTCACGTAAGTTTGCCATGCTACCACGTTCGAGGTCAACGTAGACCGATAATACGTACGTTTGATTCGCGATCGTCGATGAGAGGCAGTTTTTACAGCGATATCGAAAAATAATCGTCATTTCTCCATATTTGCTATATACGGCTATCTCGCGCTCCTTTGTTTTTTGCCGACATTCGAAAGTATGCGTATACGCGTAATATCTCGATTTGAACCATAAAAATAATCAACCGACATACCTTTGGATGCGTGCGCATAATCGTTACGAACATTTCGAATATTTCATAAAATCGCCAAGGACGCAACCGTTGTTGATCGGTTCGGTCACGTTCATCGATATACATCACTGGCTTTGTACAGTTGAATTTCGGCCGAATGGAAAAAAAAAAAGGAAAAAGAGAGATAGAGAGAGAGGGGAGAGAGAGAGAGAGAGAGAGAGAGAGGACATATAGGAAAGTCAGCGATCGTTCGCTAGACGCGTACCCGTGCATGCGCCATATACTGCAGATGTGCAGCTGCGTCGCAACGTTCGAATAAAACGCGCGTTCCTGAATTATCCAATAATAGCGGTCTCATTACGCGAATGGCAATTAATATGACGTTATTTTTGGTATTCGGTCGCAACGATGAATAATTACAACGCGTAGTTTGCCTCTCATTGCGACCTTCTGCTACTTTATCGTTTACATTATATCTTCCCATCTCGTACCTCAATCGAAGGTATGTATCGAGAATTTGGAAGTTTTGCCCCTGCTCGACCTGCGTCACCGTCTCGTCGTGCCCTCTCGATACCGCGAGCCCTCCGGTTCAACCTATTTCCAGTTAAAAATAGCCAATAGAATGATTGTCGTTAGAGCAATGTTCATTCAGTCGCGATTAAACTCGAAAACCTCTTGCGTGCAATTGCTTCTACGCTTCCTTTGCCTTCCCTTCCTTCTTCGTCCTTCAGCCAATCCAGACGCATAGAGAGATACATACGGCTTTCAAAAGATATATCCACGCAATTTGTCGCCTCATTCGAATCCACTCTCGTTCTCATGGCCGCGCGCTTATCTCGATACCCGAATTCCCGCGTTTCCTCGTATTCTATTTCTCGTGGCCTTGATTAAAAAGCGAAAGATCAGCGTAACCGATCTCTCCCTTTCCTCTGACCGATCCTCTTTTCGTTGGTAAACGTTTTGCTTCCCTCCGAGTAGATTTTACCGGGAGTTTCGCTCGGTGGTGGCTTTCGAAGAGTCGATCGAGCGACTGCGATCCGGTAGGTTGAACGCGGATCGGATCGCGAAGGATCGATCTATCGGCGGAAAAGAAGGAAAGGGGAAAGGGGAAAGGGGAAAGGAGACTAGGTGTTCGAATCTAAGACGGTGGGCGTGCGTGGATGACGGTGGCGGAAAGTCGCGCGATAGTGGTGCGACCGGGACCAATGGGAATTCGCGGTGCCGGAGGCTCGACTCGCGCGTTCCTCGCGCATTCCTCGCGCACAACCGATCGCGCGCTCATAAAGCGACCGCGTGCCTCCTCGACCGATTTAGTAGCGTATCGTACTCTCGTCTCGTACCGTGCACCGTGCGCGCACCTTCCCCGCGTGACCGCTACCGACACCTTCTCCGTCGTCCAAATCTTTCTCCCTATTCTCCTTCGTAGTTACGCGCTCACCGTCCAACCACACGGTTCATTCGCATCGCGTTTCTCGTCGTCGACGATCGTTATCCTAGGCCGCGGCCAATAATTCCCGGCATCTATCGTGCGGCACAAGTCGGCCAAGGTTCTCAGGGTAGCGAAGAAGTTTTCGCGTTTGTCACGCCGGACAGTCATCGCGTGGTCGTCGTAAGTATCGAACGCGTAGCGATTGCTCGACAAAAATTAATGGAATAAGGCGACGAAATTGTTTGACGGAGGCAAGGAAGAATCGCATCCGCGCGTCACGCGCTAAGGTATCGCGTTCCAACGACGACCTTTCTGCGCCGAAAATGTATAGTCTTACGCTATCGCGTGTCCGCGTCGCCATAAAGGATCGATTTACCCTGATTTCTCGCGCCGTTTCGGTCGGGCTCGTCGCGAGACGCGTGGATGACAGAGAAATGTGCGGCAACCGAAATCGGAGGACGAGCGTTGGAGGAAATAGGTGACGGAAGCGAAACGACTGAACGGAGCACGTTTGTTCCGCGTGGCCAGTGCGCGCTCGAGAGCCACGAGTGAATCGCGTACGAACGCGTCGTTTCAAACGAATCGTATCGCGATTCGCGATATCCATCGAACGCTATTCCTCTTCCTCTCATCCTCTCATCCTCTCTTCGCGAGAGGAGCACGCGCGTTCGCGACCACGCGCTTCCTCCACTGTCGTGTTACGTCAGTGGGATTACGTATCGACGCGATTCCCTTTTCGCGAGAAGCAATTTCGATGCTATTAACCGGATCGTGGATGATGAAACGGCGCGGCGATAAATCCTCGAAGCGATTCACGGCCCGTGTCCTGACCTTGCCCGTTCGCAGCTCGTGGAAATTTTCCTAATCGGTCTAATGCGATCGCGCGTATCGCGCGCAAGATCATTGGTCGATTCCGCGCTGTGCGAGTGCCGCGGTAGTCGTTAATCTCTCCGAGCAACGATTCCGGCGTCGCGTCGCGACGATCCAGGTGTGGTGGCTGGATCGCGATCCTCAGGACGAACGCGCGGTGCGCGTTATTTACGAATAAGCGCGGATGGTCGCGAGACAACGCGGGTTCTTTATTCTTTTTTTAAGCCGCGGTCGTTACGCGAAAAGCGCGCGCGCGTCTCTCCTGTTCCAATCCGCGAATAGAACGCGCGATCTTTTCGTCTCGTTGCTAGTCGCTCGGAGATATCCCGTCCCCGTGTGTTCTTCCTCCTACGTTCGTTCGTCCGACACTGTTGCTCCGATTCCGCCAACGGATCCCACCCTCCGTCCTGGGGTAATCACCGGACAAGAGAGAGGAGAGGAAGCATCGCCGATCGAGTACGACGGAGTCTGATCGAACGTGGATTTTTCTGTTTCAGGGAAGATGCGGACTCGCTACTGCAGCTGAAACCGCCCCGTAGACTACGAAAGTCCGAAGGTCCGCAACCAAGACCGATCACCAAAAAGTAAGAAAAGCTCTAATATCGTCTCCGCGTCTCGTCCTTTCGAGCGTTCCTAGCGCATTCGCAAACGAATTATCGTGAACGAAACGATAGAGCAAAGCGATACCAAGCGAATAATAGGAAAAAAAAGGAAAACGAGAAAAGATTGTAAGCGATTCGCGCGAAAGGGGGTGAGAGAGTGAGAGAGAAAGGGGGAGAGAGAGAAAGGGGGAAAGGAGGCGCGATAAAGGAACCAGTGGAGCAGACGGAGAAGGGAGACAAAAGGACCAAATGTTTTGCAAAGGATAAAGTATACGTAGGTGTATACGGGGTGGTACATTGACGGCACTGAGCGGAATACGCCGCATCGCGCGCATGCGCGTCACCTGGGAAATTTGAGAAACCGAGAGAAGAGTAAAGAAGAAGAAAAAGGGAAATC